AAAACAGTGGAATCACATGTTTGGTTTTCAAGTGACTAATGGTTGCCCATGTAGGAATGATTTGAATATACAGCTACAGTATATTCAATATGACTTCTTCTTGCATTAAAAAAAGTAAAAAACAAAATATAGTTGGTGCTACTTGTCTGTGTTTCTTGTTTTAAAATTGATACTTTCCAATTTTTTCATAGGCAATCTTCTTCGCTCTGTGGATATCAGAGGATACCAATCCATGGCCAAAATGTATACGCGACTGGCGGCCATGCCTAAGAAGGGTTGAAAAAAGTATTGGATTCTTGTGCTCAAACAGAGTTCGTATGCATCCAGATTTTCACAAGTGCCTTCTGCTCTCGGATATGTTTATCAAGTTTTGAAAAAGAAACTTCGAATACACACTGGTTAAGAAAGCTGAGCTAATTTTTGCTTTTAGCATACCTATGTACGTAAATTATACGAAACTTGCAGAGCTCATTTCAGAAAAAAAGGTACAAATGTCAATCAATAATTAATTTACGACAAAGTAAATGGATTCAGATGTGGATTTCACCTCAAGGGCAAATCTATACCCCTTCAAGATAGAACAATATACAGACACTAGGATTTTACGTGATACAGAATCCAAACTTGTTCTCCAGAGGGATTGTACATGACCTCATGGATTGAAGTGTTCATCGAACCAGTCACTTGCCTGTCTCACCATACAAGATGTCATCCTATGCCCGACACCCTCTTCAGCCACCAGCTGAAAAATAAAGAAATTAGTTACCACTCTCACAAAACAAAACTTGAAGCTGGTTTCAAACTTTCGGTACCATTTTAATGAGATGATGATTGTTATTGTTCTTGTTATTATTATACCTTAAAGTTATGGATCAAACCCGCTTCTTCATACTTCTGTTTTGTTCTTGATTCCGCAAGTTCCAGTCCACCAAGGGGGCAACGAGGGTCCTCTTTGCCTGAATGTGAGTTTAGGTAACTTCCGTTAAAAGTCTACTCAGGGAAATATATATATATATAAATACACACACCAAGCCTAAGGCATAAACAAATGTACACCTACCATTCAAAATAAGCAGGGGGCGTGGTGCAATTGCAGGGAGCGTGTAAGGAGAGTCAAAACGAGAGGCCAAACCGGGAGCTATCCTGTCCCACACCTATTTTTTATTTTTTATTTTTATAGAACAATAAAATAAATTGTAAACTCGTTTGCGGACACATTATATGGCTCGGTAACAATCACTATTTCTTAATCAAAGACGATGAACCAATTAACATGTAATGGAGATTGACCTTCTCCACTATTTCTTTATCAATTGTGCTCTTTCCCAGATCGATTCTTGCCTCTGAAAACCAACACGAAAATAATCTCAACACGTATTAAGCTTTTGATGTTTTCTTCTTCTTTTTTTTTTCTCAAGATATTAAAATAATGCACGAATTATGGCCATCTCTTATACTCGGGCTTGTATCTCACCTTCAAAGACAGCCTTGATGCTGTCGACTCTGGCTTGCCACTTGTCATGTTCAATTGCCCAACGGAAACCCTGGATTTGGTGCAAAACAAAAGTTTGAGACCCCAGGCACTGTTTTTCTGTACCTAATTCCTACTAGAAATACCAACCTGAACACCAATTATAGGGACAACCACAGAATACCGAGTATCAGCAGCAGCAGCAAACCATGCATGCATGCCTGAATGATGGAGAACCATACTGTAATTGCAAGTTGTAGAATTATTTTTTCCCCCAATAATATGATCTTTAGAATGGATTTGCCTGACCTCCAAGGGATTCACCGGTTATTCCTATTCTAGAAGGATCCACATCCTCCCTTTGGGTCAGGTGATCTGCCAATTTTATTATGTCCCACACCTGAACGGAGATATGTTAAGCATGTCCAATCTAGATTGATCCAATCTAGTATACTGAAAACATACAATTGTGGCACATGAAATTTTCTTGAGATTCTTTGTACCAAATTTCAGAAATCAAAATAATACCGTATCAAATATAAAAGGCATAGTGTCGCCTTTTTTCCATGATGACACCAGAGCCTGCAGGGCAACACCATATGTATTCATCACACATTCTATAAAGATATCAAGTATATTTTTTTTCAAGAGTAACAAAACAAAACAAAACAGAAAGGTTCAGCAGACACACTTCTCGGTAAGTCGTTAGGTTTCTGGCTCGCTCTCCATGGTAACGTGAATCTATAGCTATAGCAATATAATCCCTAGAAGCATACGCCTGAAGCCAGAATAAAAAACAAAATATAATTAACAAATAAATAAATATAAATGCTGGGATCAATGTCTTATCCTGAAAGAACTTCAAGGCATGAGCATCTAAAAATATAATCCATACCTCAAGCAAAGGTCGCAACCACTCTTTGCATTTATGTGTACTGTGTAAGAAAACAATAGCTGGCCTTCTCTTCTGACTGTTGTTTGCTTTCAGTTTCAATAAAAGAACAGGCAAACGTCCTTGTTCCCCCTCCTAATCAGATTTTTTCGACAAACCCATTAGATGTGTAGAATGTTAATAGAATTATGAATGTAACACATGCATTAGTTTAATGATCTGCACTGTGACGAACTGAACCTGAACAATGTGAAATGATGACCTAGGATTTGGGGGAGTCACTTTTTTTGACTTAAGATATATGTTATCAATATATCAACGTGTTCTGGACCTACTTTTACATCCAAAATCCAACTTCCATTTTCTTATCGGATTAAACTTCAGTAAACAGGTGCTGCAAGATAAAAATTAGAACCTACATAAACAATGTCAAATATGCCACTAAAGGTATCATTCAAACCTATGAACTAACTCCCAATTTGATTAAGGTTCAAAATAATACATTCTGCTATAAAAGGATTAGAACATTAATGCCTCAAAATTCCGATTTCCCACAAATTTGGTTGCTAACAATAAAACAGAAAAGAGAAGGCAACAGTTGTCAGTTGTGCTACCTCAGTTGTCAGGTAAAAGTTCTCCTCTTGCAGCAGTTCCTTAAAGTTGGGAATCTCTTTCTTCGGACAAGAGTCCATCACCTGTACAGTTCACCATAGGCTGCTCTATAAGAATGACATGTCTTTGAACGAACCTAATAAAAGGAAAACAAGAAAGGGAAAAGCAGGTTCCAACCTCGCTGAAGTTTGGCCTAGGAGTTTCTTGGTACAGTGGGCCTTGTACAGGTTTCCCATATTCAACAGAAAGAGGAACTGCAGAAATTTAATAAGCATAAATATACTCGAATATGATGCTTATGAAGGAAAATGTTAGATCACTCCGACCAGGAATACATTCTACTTATCTGTGGCCGTCAATAATATATGAAGCCTCGTTGACTCAATTACATTTTAGATGATTAGCAATCTATGTACTGAAATGGGTATTTAGGGAACACACACAAGAAAATAAATAAATAAATAAATAAAAGCTAAAAAGGAAGGAAAGATCAAAGATCAAGGAACAAATTTCAACTAGTCCCGAATTGATCATTCGGGCACACAGGTCAACAAGAAGCAGATATCTGACCACTAACATAAAGTACTCAAAAAAGTAAAATAAATAGATTCTAGCATATTAGCATCAACATAGAGTGCTTAAATACGAGTTTAAACTTTAAACTGATACCCATTTGTGAATCTCTACAGGCACCGACAGTAATGGGAAGAATTATGTGAATCTTAAAGTTTCTTTCTCCTCACCTGTGATCCAACACAAACTGAAGCTCGCAAGTAAGCAACTCATACATTCTAGTCACATAACAGTAAATAATAAACCAATATTGGACCGTCTACGCCTCACGAGTCAAAGGTCCAATTTATATACACACAGTTCAATCAAAATACTGACCAAATCAAGCACGCGTACTAAAATCCGAAATGAATGCGTACCAAAAACAAATAAAGTAACACCAAAACTCCAAAGGGGAAATAAGATTGGCCTTCACCAGGACACACACAATGAAGACTGAAGAGAGAAATGAGGTGCAGAGGTGACCTTCGGCCGAGCGGCGGCTGCGGAGTACTTGCAAAAAATTGGAGCGGATCTTGACGGCGTCGCTGGAATATTCCATTCTCTGATCGCCGGTGACGGATCGGGAATTAGCTGCGGAGTGGGAGTGGTCAGCTTCGCGTTTATGAAGTAGTTGGAGCTGGCAGTGGCAGGTGGAGGTGCATGAGACCGCACGTGGAAGGCGGTGTTTGGCACTTGCGCGGCCTCATGATTCCCGCGATTACGGATAAGGGAAGGAAGAGTACTGTTAAGGTTCCTCCTTAGGCTATATAGTTTTTTTTAGTTACTCGGGACGTAAAAATACGAGAGAGATGATATGGATTGACAGTTAAATAAATTACGTGAGATGATGAATAATAAATTAACTAGTACGTGGCCCGTGCGATGCACGGGAAAATAATATTTTGATTGTATTATTATAAATTAAATAAATAAATAACATTAATTATGATTTACCCATTATTTATAAATCAAACTGGGTTGGACATAGTCCGACCGCATGGACCGAGAACCGGTTTATAACTGATTTAGTGCGCTTGAATAAAATATTTACTATAGAATCCGCCAACACCAGTATGTTGGACTGGTAAGATCGATACGATTTTCTAAACAAATTTTGTTACATGAAAAATTATTTTAAATAAAATTACATATTTAAATAAAATAGAGATTTATAAATTGTTTATCAATTAGTTTAAATATTTGAATTTATAAATTGTTTAGATATTTAAGTAACACTTTTTATTTAAATATATATATATATATATATATATATATATATATTAAAGTATTATGTATTAAAATCTGAACAACCACAAGACGGTCCGATTCTGAAAACCTTATATTTACCGTACATTAATAAAAATGATAATGAAATAAATATTTTGTTCACATAAATAATATAAAATGATATATAAATATTCATAAATCATTATTCATGTTGTCATAAAAGTATTGTTAATATGATTTTTTGAAGTTTGGACTACATCACATTCATGTAATAAAGTATTTTCAATATTAAAATTTATATTTAGGTTCAATAATCAATTTGGTCTGGTCAAACTGATACATAACTTAGTTACACCGGACCAACCAAGTTGTGTCAAGTTTTTTGACTATTTTAAATATCACCTAAAAATAATTCAATCAAAGTGGGCAGTACCCTAATTCAATCACCTGATTGATCCAAAGTAATTTCCTTATTTTCTTTAAATATAATATTTAATTTTATGAAATAAAAATATTTTATGATTCATATGTCTACACCAAATGATAGTATATTAAGATTATAAATTATATATCTAAAGATGAACTATTTATTTTTATTTTATGCATATTAATAAAAAATAAATATAGTAATTTAAAAAAAATTAAGATTAATTAATTGAGTATGCAATTTAAAAACTATTTTTAGCGTTCAATATATATATATATAAATATATATTTAACATGATTGAATTTTTGGATTAGAATATATATATTTAAAATAATTTTATTACTAAAAGTCAAAAAGAAAAGATGCCATAAAGATTACAACTTTGAAAAGTTTGTAACCATTAATTTAAGAACCCTCCGATTTTAAATGATTTATAATTTTTGAAACATGATACGTGCATTTAAAACCCATTAATATAGGAACCATCCACTATTTTGATAATGAATTAAAATTAAAATGTAAAATGTAAAAGTTGCTGAAAATAGTATATAATAAATGTGGTTGACTTTTCCTTACTACTATTTATGGTAAATGTTAATTCTTATTATATATATATAGATATATTAAAGTTGATGTAATTGTAAGACTGATTGGTTGATATTATCTAATTATTACCAAATACAGATTGTCAAAAAGAAAAATCCGCCTATAGGAATCTATCCTATAAAGGATAATATTGAGAATAATAAGGTTGAGTTAGATTTTGATTAAAAATTGAGTATGAATTGAGATATTTCATATACAAAAACACATGTTTGTATATAAATATCTCCTCCCAAAACGAGTTGTTTTTTGTTAACCAAGGCAAATTTAAAAAAAAAAAATTGTATGGTTAGTTGTTAGTACAATTTTGATTTTATATTAAAATAATATATAAAATAAAATAATTAAAGTTGATTTGATATAAAAATATGATAAAGATGATATAAAGTGATGATTAGCTAAAATTATGTGAATTGATGAATAGTGAATTAAAGTTGATTTGACGTATAAGAATGATTGAGTGATATTATTTAATAATATTGATGATGGTAAGTTTGAGTTAAAGTTGAATTAGATTTTAAGTATGAATTGAGAGTGAATTGAATTTACTCATATACAAACATACTAAACACAATTAAAAAAACAATTTTCACAGTTCTCTTGGTTTTCAATTAAAAAAGACAGTTCTTACCTTAAAACTTGGTTTTCAGATGACTTGCTTCTAATTTGAACCACATCCTCTCTCTGTATTACAGTTGCATAATAATTACAAGCTAAAGCACGAATAAGAGAAATCCTAACACCATTACATACATACAAACCTGAAACAATAAAACAAAATATCACCACCAGCCATCTCCAAGGAGAGTAATTGCTTGATTATTGTACCCCATAAGTCTTCAGTCTTCGAGTTTCAAATCAAATACAAACTACATTTGACTATACTTGGAGGTACCTTGCATGTTTTCGTGATCTATTTCTGCTTCTGCAATGAAATATAACATGATTATTATTTACGATTCGCAATAAAATAAAGTGACAAACTAAATAAAAAGAAAGACATTGCAAAAGAAGGTCTAAAACAATTTAATTTTTGATTGCAAGCAGAAACCCAGTAGTTAAATAATAAGACAAGAATATCACCTTCAATCGAGCCACACGTGATAATTCTGTTGAGAAAACCACGAAATCTGGCTAGCACAAGCCTTTCTTGGTCAACATACAACTGGTAAAGGCCATTTATGGAGACTGACTTCATATTCATGCCTGGATCAGACTCAGTAATTGAACATGCTTTATCTGCCATAAATGCTGTGTCTTGTTCATCACACATTAAAGCAAGTGTTGCTGGGGACAATGGCCTGTCATTGTGAAGATCAAATCCATTTGATTCCCCACATTCTTGGTTCTGATTATCTTTACTGTCATTATGGGATGAAGAAACTCGTGAAAGTTCAGGCTCAATCACATCTGTGGTACTACTCGTTTTGTTTTCTTCTAAAAATGCAAAAATACGTGGATTAGGCTAGCAAAACAACTTCCTGGTTAATTGAACTAACTTCGAATACTACAAAAAGTATGATTTTTTCATTTATATCACATTTACCCTTTCCATAACCAAAAGTCAATTCAAAACTCTCCTTCTCACTCATAAAAATATAGTGTTAGCCCGAAATTTTAACAATGAAAAAGACCTGGGGGTATCTTCTTGTAACTGTATATGTAACTCTATATCTCATTATTTTGGCTAAAATCCAATTACTATGAAACCTACTTGAAAAATTCTGAGCTGCTTCAGATGAAAGTTCAACTAAAAGCATGCAGAAGTCCTTCACGTGTTGTAATTGGAGGATCCCATCCAAAGGAGACCTTGAATAAAAATAACAACATTTAGAGGCGAGAGTTGCAAGAGTAGTTTATTTATGTATATAACAAAAAGTAATACAAAATTTACCTGTAGGAAGGTTTAGAAATTCCAATCATCTGTTTGGACTGGTGATGAGATAATGAGGAATTTGAGGCATCAGATGTTGAGCAACTTTCCTGATTACAAGGAAACAGAACTCATCATGTACAAGAAGCTGAAACTACGCAATTGCATTGACAACCGACGATAAGGTTCACACTCTTTTGTATTGAGAAAATTCACATTGTCAAATGTTAACCAGTCCTCAATGTACATATACATTTTCCGTGTGATCTTAATGAGGGTCATGAGCAAGGCATTCCAGTGCCAAAATGGGATTTCAAAAAGGAAAAAGATGATAATAGTAACTCTAATAGTAGTAATTGACTAATTGTCATTATGAAAAAGATAAAAATTACGACAATAAACAAAGATTTTGCATTAAACTTCATAAATAACCTGATAATTTTGGGTAGGCCAGTTACTCAACTGTTTATTACTAACCAACCCATGCGCCATTTGTTGAGTTCTACTCTTCTTGTTTGGAGTTCCGATAGCTCCATTGATGGCCGCAATGGCAGCTTGTTGCATTAATGCAATCGAATTTGTAGGATATTGTTGAAAACGAGCTTTTCTCTCCTCACTCCCTTCATAGTTTTTACAGTCCATGCATTTACATATATCTGAACACAGAATATTGGCCTGGAGGCAATCACAATACCTCTTGAGACACCCAGATTTCTTACAATGGCATCCCTTATGGTGTTCTACCTGAATTGCATGAATTGGAAGAATCATGCCAGTGCTAAACAAATAAATTTCAGATATATTGTAAATTTCTACCTTTTCCCACCATTGTTGAATAAAAAGCATTAATGTACAAATTATATAAAAATATTTCTTCAAAACATCACTTCCAATTCTCTCTTTTATTTTGCCAGCTACTTTTCCTAATAATTTCCTCATTCACCAAGATCAAGAAGATGCAACATAGATTATAATAAAATAACTAAGATAAACACATCAGAAAGCCTTATTTACATACACCACCATCTGCGGCTCCATGTGGACTGTTGGCTATCTTTGGTCTGAAAGCATTCAGATTCCTCTCCAAAATAGTTTCAATTGATGCCTTTCTATCAGCCTCGTGTTCCATTTTATTGTGACATTTGACACAGTTGCATCCATCACAGTAAACTCCCGAGGCAAAGCACTCACAGTACCTGTTAATAAATACACCTTGTTACCTAATGGTGAATATCAGTCAAATAATTGGTCAAAATTATTCACTCAGATCATCATTTGGAAATCATATAAAGAAACTCTGTTGGAAAAGACAAGTAGTAATGGGACATTCTCATGAATTTTCAACCATTTGAAATGAGAATCGATTGGAGGGATTTTACTTACAGCTTCAAGCATCTAGAATTCTTGCAATTGCATTGTTTCTGCTTTTTTGGAGTACCGTCATTCTGTTCAAGATTAGCCTTTTCTCGTGATTTTGGGGACTCCAACTTCCTGAATAAAGGAAAACAAACAACATGNAGAACATGTTTCTTAACAATTGACAAGTAAATATTTCTGTATTAGTACATAAATATAGTTTTTGCTCATCTTATTAACACTAACACTTCAAAAATTGTCACATCCATTCTGCTCATCTATCATCAAATACTTAGCATACTTTATGATGAGGTAAATCTTTATAAGCATAATCACCAAAACTATCAAAAATCACCATTTTTTCACACTCCTAATCAAAATTCCAACAAGAAATCAAAACAAGCAGCAATTGACAAACTTGCAAACGCTCAAACAAAAAGGCCTTACTGCAATGGAGGCTTAGGGACGGCAGCTTTGTTTGTGGGGTGAGCCAAACGAGGAGCTGGGGTGGGATGATCCTGCTGGTGGAATTTGGGCGGCATTACCATTTTCCGAGGGGGAAGTATCGTCTGAGTCGGAGGAGATTGGGACCTCACAGGTGCAGTCACGTGTCTCGATTGGGCTAAGGCCAACAATTTGGATTGTAGCAGAGCCTGAGGGTGGTCCGGCAGTATCAAACTCGAAACGGCATTAGCATTTGTCGAGGCCTTGAGATTGACCGTGAAATCCAGCTGCCTAACCACCGGCGCCGATGCCGGCGACGCCACTGTTCTCACTGTGGTCTCGCTCTTCTTCATTACTCGAACCCGTAGAAATTTCTAAAACGGAAAATTTTGAGGGTAGCGAATTTCATGCAGCGAATTTCAAACGGGAGTAAGCGACGAAGTCTTTCAAACCCAAAACATAACCTGATGTGATTTCAATACGTGATCCTTATGAAGGAAAAAAGAAGGGATAAAAATCGAATCTTTCTTCATCTCACAAGGTATTGATTTTCTCGACCCGACAATATAGTCAAAAGAAAAACAAAAATGTCTGCAATGTTGAATCTTTTGTACCGGAGAAGAAAAGGGGCGATGGGTTAAGAGTTTGAGAAATGGGCTGAGGAATTTTGGAGATGGAAAGAGGAGGTGGTGTTGATGGATTGATTATACGCAGAGAGGGTGATATTATATTATTATTTAAATTTAAATTTGCACAAAACTTATGGTCGGGAAGATAGAGGGTATGGACTTTGGACCGGAAAGATCAAGTCTATGCCCGTAAACCGTAATTTTCTCACACACATTAGTCATAGCCAAATGGCGGGCCGGGTCGTGGAGGGTCGCCGGGCCTGAAAACATGGGCTACGTCCAGTGTATATCCTCCCTCACTGAATGCTTGTTCAATCACCACTGTGGAAGTGGGGACAACAAAAATCTCCTTGATCATCAGACATTAAATTAGTAAAATGGTAGACATCTTTGACTTAAGACGTCGAAATTCTGTGACGGAACTGGTTCACGAGAAATCGTAAGTATTAAAGTAATCGTGAGGTAGTGATCGAGCTCACTATATCCACTCCTCTTTGCCCTTTGGATCTTAGCAGTTTTTATAGGGATTAAAGCCATCCCACCAGTCACCAAAGTTTTGGGCTTGCTACATCGTCTGTCCCCATTGTCCATAACCATAAGAAGAAGACCCGGAAGCAGTTGAAGAAAATGATGCCAGATTTTCCGCGAGTCCGATTGTTGTTTCCCTAAACAATTCATACAATAAAATTTTAGTTGTTCGATGAGCTGCCGTGGGCTCGATCTATCACTGATAGTCGGGACATCAGTGGGAAGTGAGAGTTGATATAGAATATCATAATATGTGTTAAGTTGGTTGAACAAGCCATTTTACGTAATGACGGATCTAACAAAGATCCAACTAAAATGTATCGGGAATGAAAAAAAATATTTTAACCATTTACTTAACATTTTTCTTACAAGTTCACCATGTTTTTCAGGATCACTTATAAGAATATCTCTAAAACCCCATATTGCTGCTACACATTGACTTACAACAAGTTGAACAATAGGATAGTGAACACTACAAAGTATGCTAGTAGTATTTTGAAATGTTTCTAAAAATTTACTAAGTGTTTTACAATTTAACCAATCACGTAGACTAACGTTGACATCACAATCATCTTTAAGTTGACTCGTCTTAAAAAATTTATCAAATTGAGAACAATATGGAAATGTTTTACTTTTTTAAAAGTTGAGTTCCAACGGGTAGGAACGTTCGATTAGAAGTTTTTAGCTTTAAGGCCTTGTTCTCTACAATGTTGTCCCAATTTTTTCATTTCTTGTGGACGACGCTGTAAATAATTAACGACATACCTAATGGGCGTGACTGTGTCTTTAAGTGCATGATAACCCACTTGAACAAAAAGATTAAGGACATGTCACATGCACCGAATATGAAAAACTTTTCTCCCACAAAGGGGACTGAAAATTTCCTCAAGCTCGGGTATAGACGCATTATTATCACCAAAAGATGGAAAAAAAAAAGTTTTCTTTTACTAATTCTATAACTATTCAAGACACGTAAAATTAAACGAACAATATTAGAAGCAGTGTGACCGTATAAGCAATTAAACGTTTTTGTAATGTAAAACTATCATCTACCCAAATAACAAGTAATGTCCATGTAAAAATTATCTTGTCAATGGTCGGATCAAATCTCACAACAAATAGAAATTATTTGGTTTAATGCTTCAAAAGTTTGCGCCAAGATTAATTTTTTCTTACAAACGGTTTTTCGAATATCACGAGTGAACGTAGTACGTGGAACCCAAGACATAACCGAGTTTAAAGCCATTTGAGCAAAATTTTTATATAAATCAGAATCTCCAAAACCGAAAGGAAGAGATAAACCACAACAAATTCAATCAGTTGTTTTCTATGGTTTTCATGTGAGTATTAGAATAAAATAGAAGACATACCTGCTGATACATGGCTACTCCCGTCGGTGCCGCCGCCCGGGAATTGCATTTGGGTCGTGGGAATCCCTATTTCGGCCGAATGATGACGTTGTATGTGTCGTGTCAATATTTCGTACCCATCACCGATTTTGAAAGCATACTTTTTCTTAAAGTTGGCCGGACAATGGTTGCAAATACATATGAAATGTTTATCACTTTTATTCTCATTGGGCACCTTCGTGAAGTGGCGGACTAATATTTCAGATTTCATCCCTCCACCGGCCGGCCCGACCGTCCGAGTCCCTTGAGGTTGTTGAGTTCCTCCACCTTGAGTAGGATCGAACTTGTCTTCATGCGGTTGCTCCTGGTTCTCCTCCTCCAATTGTATGCTCTCATGGATTTTCTAGATAGAGCGAAAGATGCATTGGACTGTCTCGGATGAAACGTCATCGGAAAGACCCGAAACGTCCCGATATACCGTTTGTCTCGGCGTCGACAATGGAGGTCTACTCGAAAAAGATTCTCCTACATTTTTACGCTTTTGTGGTGGCCGATCACCGGCACGACCACCACCACGAGAACTCGACATTTTATAACTAGAATAGTTTTTATAAAAAAAAGGAGGTGAAAAATGATAGAATTAGAAAAGAGAGAGTATTATGTAAAGAATTTATAAAATTTAAATCGAAATGAGAGTGAATATATAGAATCGGGAGTTCGGGACCGAATTTATATATAATCGAACTAATTTATAGAAATCAAGCACAAAAACTAAACAATTACCATTTCAAGAACTTAGAAATTAGTAGAAAAGAGAGGTAGATGTTGTAAGAGGAAAAATCTGATTTTGGGGGGAGGGAGGTATTTATAGAACTTTTTCGGATTTTTTTAAAAATTTTTTCGATATTCTTTTTTATTGTTGGACCTGTTGGATCCGGGTCAACCAGACGGGTCAGTTGGGTCGGTCAAATCTAGACCGTTGGATCTCAACAGTCAAGACGATCCAATGGTCAGATTTGAAAATCTGAACGTTACATGAACGACCGTTGGACCAGGGCCGGTCGGGTCAAAACCGGACCGAACCGGTTTAAGGAAAAAAAAAAATAGGCCGTTGGACTCCAACGGTCAAATACATTCGACGACCCTAATCAAATCTTTGTTAACGGTCCGGTAGTAGGGGTTTCGTGTCGGCCTCGCCCGATATAAAAAAAAAAATAAAAAAATGCCGCAGACATCGAACCGTCCTGGGACCGGTTTTGACCCGGCCCGACCCAGCCTGCCGGGTCAAAAAGTTATACAAAAGACCACTAATTGGCCCGGTCAAACTACGGGCTCGAGTCCGTGCCCGTTGACCAAGGGCCGGTTTCGGTCCAGTTGGGGTCGAACCAGTCGGCTGGGCCGGCCCGTGGCCATGACTACACACATATCCATCATTATGTTGTTTTACCTACCTAATAACTTGTCTCATACTTTGACATCACAATGTTAATCATTACATTTTAAATATTAGTTAAATACAAATTCAAAATTATACTTAAATATCCACACAATCAACATTTTCTTAAAGCTAATTCAGTTTGTCCATTAAATTCAATCAAAACTAAAAATTCCAATCACCACTTTTCTTCTTTGATTTGTTATCCAACAGTGCCACATTAAGAAAAACTATATTACTAGTAAATAGTAATGCAATACCAGCATACCAGGGGTGATACAGTGTTTGATTTGAAAATTCCACACTTATTTGTTTTTTCAATAGAAATTTTTATTTTAAATTTGTACAAGTTTACTAAAATGATATTATGGTTTTATTTTCAAAATTTTACATTTGTATTTTTATTTAAAATGGCAATCAATATTTTTTAAAAAATAATTTGTTATAATTATAACAATTTTTATAATTCATATCATATAATTTCTTTGATAGATAAATTTATATAATTACTTAGTAAAAAAAATTATTATTTCTCAAATAGGTCTTGATTATATAATCTAATTTTCATTTATAAACGTGGATATACATTTTTTATATATGCATATAGATGTCAAATTAAAAGTCATCAGAAGATGATTAATTTGATATATCATATAGGAACAATTAGTAACAAAAACAAACGTAACTGAACTTCAAAATCATTAACAATTTGGATTAGTTAAATATTTTATAATTTAAAAGTTCGTAAACATAAATAAAAGTCTAGGCATATATAAACTACTTTTTTTTCAAACGAAAAATATATTAATAACTAAAAAAGTACAATAGAAGTGTCAACTGACACACAAGAACCAGAAAAGCTGGACCTACCCTCTCGAAAGCACATCTGTGTCCGAGAGGTACAACTTCCATCAAGGAGTCAACCGCACACACAAAAACTCACCTTCATAAAGAAGACTAGAACTCCATAAAGGAGACAAAAAGCCAGACGTAGCTGGACTTCTTGCACTAAAAAAACTAAAAGATAAAAAACACACACCTAATATACACAACTAGAGTAAAAACCTCCCCTAGCTGAACAAACAAACCACACTACCAGCTAAACTGACAACCGAGACGCACCCACAATATCAAACCCCAAACAAATAACAAACTTAGACTCCAAACTCGAAAACTTCGGACACTCAAACCGCCTAGACGAATTGTCTTTCCAGATCTGGACCCGAAGTAGCTCGGCATCGGGGGAAGGTGGGAAAACCGCCAAAATAATGTCGGAGGCCTCGAAACAAAGACCCAAGGAGGTACCTTACAACACGACCGAGCGGCCGTACCCGGTCAGGCAATCCTGCGGGCAGCCAGAACCACCGGCCACCAAGTCGCAAACTGACACTCCTACAATGTGAGAAGGCGAAGCACGCGAGGCTGAGCACCGGCATTTCGACGGACGCCCGCCGCTGGGCGAAGGCAGAGGCTAAATAGGCAATCGACGACCACCACTGTAGCTAGGGGAAAAAAGCTGAGAGACGAGAATTGCCACTGGCCTAATTCCCGCCGGGCTCTGGGAGGAGCAGAGAAGATGGCCCCACCTGCCGCCGCGACTCGGCCAAGTCAGGGAAGAAGGTCGACCGTGGCAGTTGCCGGCTAGGAGGGGCGACTAGTTTTTGGTTAGGGTTTTTTGATTTGGGGGAAAGGGGGGAGAGAGAAGCGAGAGAGAGAGAGAGAGAGAAAATTTTTATATATAAACTACTTCAAAACACCAAAAGTTCAT